TCTTAAGTAGCTATGTTTATATGGTTTTTAATTGCATTGTCACCGAAAAGCCCCACCAGGGGAGTGTTAGTAAACTATTGTCTTGTATTGTTAATTCATCCGTTGACTTGAACTAAATAGTAATTTTGTTTACACTATAAGCGTTTCGGTTAAAAACGAAAAAGTGCGGATTCGACAGGTACCCGAATGCTCTGATTGCAAATCTAATATAATCAAGCAGGCTTTCACGGTCTTTGTGGTTTGGCTGCTATCAACACGCAGTAATGATCTCCTTCATCAGTATAAAATTCTAACGGCTTAGAATTTTCCGCGTTTGTGTACCAAGCACAAAAACTCGATATTTTGTCTTTCATGACTAGGTCTGGATCAAACGCACCTTGCAAATATATCAAGTGAAATGAGCGCATGCTTTCAACACTTTCCAACTCAAAATATTTCCTTTGGACGTCGATACTTTTCGAGATGTCAAACCCGCAGCCGCACACAGCTCTTCAATTTTTGACTGTAGCATCTGGTCGGCGGTTATATTTAGCGCATGCCTACTGGAATAAAGTATGTCCATTTCCATCCGCCATCTTGGGTGTATGTTCTGTCTTTTCGGGGAACACTTTAGACCTCCTCTCGAAATGAAGTTTGCCTCGCAAACGTTCTGTCATTTCTGAGTTTTGCAGTTCATGATAAAGTTTTTCAAAGTAAGAAAAAAAGTGATCGCTGTAAGACAGGACAATTTTCCCCGCTGGTTTTAGGCTTCAAAACATGTTCTTGAATGCTTCTTCTTTCTCCTGAATACGTTGAAACACAAAGTTGGCCATGAAGTTTGCAGAGCTTCCTTCATGAAATGCGAGATTTTTCACTTCTCTGTGTGATTCTCGAGCCACTTGAAGCCGATGGACATCAGGATCGACGGCAACAAATCTTCCATCTTGTCCTACGAGCTCGGCCAGATACACAGACAATTCTCCAGTACCACAGCCCAAATCTAAGATAACATCTCTAGGATGAATCTCTACATTGTTGATAAGTTCTTTTCCGTCTTCTCTTTGACGAACCACCCTTTGCTTGTAACTCAGGGCTGCTTGTTTGGAGTTGGACATTGTGCCCAACAAGGTAAAGTAAAAATCAAACAAGTCAAGTTCTGCAGGATGACCTTCTTACTAATAAGCCAATCAAATAGATCGCCTTTCTAACGAGGACAACCGCGGGTGTATAATAACAATGGTTTATAGTTGACAAGTCATCTCCACAATTTCTCAATACCAGTAGCCCCCGTTTCCCCTCCCCCCCCCTTCCTTCCATCTCAACAATCTTTGACAGCTTTTGAAAGTTTTGCTCTGTATGTGTAGCTATCTTTAAAATAGAGAGCGACGAACGGGAGAAAGGAGAATAAGGAATAAGGAACGGAGAACGGGGACTGGGGAACGGGGAATGGGGCATTAGGAACGGGGAACGAGGAACGAGGAAAAGGCAACGGAGAAAGGGGAATCTTTAAAATAGAGAATCTTTAAAATGAGGAATCTTTGAAATGGGGAAATCATTTAAAATGAAGAATCTTTAAAATAGAGAATCTTTAAAATGTTGAATCTTTAAAACGAGGAATCTTTAAAATGAAGAATCTTTAAAATGAGGAATCTTTGAAATGTGGAAATCATTTAAAATGAAGAATCTTTAAAATAGAGAATCTTTAAAATATGGAATCTTTAAAATGAGGAATCTTTAAAATGAGGAATCTTTGAAATGGGGAAATCATTTAAAATGGAGAATCTTTAAAATGAAGAATCTTTCAAGGCGAGAATCTTCAAAATGGGCTTTAAAAGCGGGAATCATTAAAATATAGAATCCTTAAAATGAAGAATCTTTAAAATAGGGAATCTTTAAAACAGGGAATCTTTAAAATAGGGAATCTTTAAAATAGGGAATCTTTAAATTAGGGAATATTTAAAATATGGAAAATTTTAAACAGGGAAACTTCAAAAGTGGGAATCTTTAAAACGAGGAATCTTTTAAAGCGTGAAATGAAATCGACCAAATGTGTGAGCGGTCTGTGGGATAGTTGCTCTTTTGTTTTTTAGAGTGAATCCGGTAAAATTCACGACTTTAAAGATTCACCATTTTAAAGATTCCCTATTTTAAAGATTCCTCGCTTAAAAGATCCCCACTTTTACAGATTTCTCATTTTAAAGATTCCCCACTCCCCACTCCCCACTCCCCTCTCTCCACGCCCCACTCCCCACGGTATCGGTTCAAAATGGACTGAACATTCATTAAATAAAATGTTTTTTTTTTAATAAATCCAATATACGGCATTCAAGATATCTGAACCACAACTCAGGAGAATACTGACTTGCATAATGTGGCTCACACCAGTTTTTTTCGTGGCCCTTGTCGAAAGCTTTTGAAAATTAAATTGATTGAGTTCTCGATGCTTGTTCAAGCGAACCGCCAATTCAAGTACATGGTCAGTATGCAAATGTAGATGGGCTCCTGATATGATTGTTACTTTATAACTGATCTGGGTGGCTATTCAGAAGTCTTTCGATCGGCCAATGGGTCCACAATTACAGTGAAGCAGGACCCGCCTGCTCCCAAGTTCATGTGTAATTTGGGAATATCGATTATATAACTGGTGACCTGATAGTGTTCAGTCCTCGAAGCTCGAGTGCAAATATTCATCATGTCCAACTCCAAACATCTTGGGAAATATGTGGAATTTATTTCTGCACTCCTTCTTTCTAAAAGCATACAGAGTTAAACTGAAATAGACANCGCCCTGTGGCGCGAGATTACAGATTTTTTTTTATTTTTATTGTCTACGGATTTCATTTCTATTGTCTGCGTCTTTTTGACGCTGAACTCTCGAGAGAGTGCAAAGCGGAGAAACCTTATTGCATGCTAGAAGCTATTCGTACATTCGACATTGACTAATAAGAACGAGATATTTTGCTGTTTACTTAAAGGTGTAGAATTTTCGTTGCGGCCGAACAAGTTTACATCCAGAACGAGAGCTGTTGCGACCTGTTTTGCGTACTTTAAAAGAACTCAATTGGTTCTTACGCCCTGGGGCGCGCAATAACGGACTTTGTTTCACTTTTATTGTTCATGGATTTCAATTCTACTGTTTACGGATTTTGAGGGCTGTCGGGAAAGTTGTCAGAGCGACTAGTTTTATTGCTATCGAGTACATTAGAAATCAGATTCTCGGATAGTTAGCTTCCGATGTACCTAGTACTTTTCGTATCAGCCGAACAAGTTTAGATGCAGAAAGACCGGTTTTATTTCAATGTTTAATTAGGTAGGCTGTTGAGACACATTCGAGACGAACAAACAATTAACCTTAGTAAAGGCGTAGAAAAATTTGCGGAAAGTTAGCGAAAAAGTTTCAAACTACCTTGATGTGAATCAAATCTGGTGGCCAGAGTCAGAAGTTTTCTTCTAAGATACAAAGAAGTTATTCACATTAATTAAAACATCGATAGATATGATATAAACAAATAGAAACACTGTATTGAATAACCCTAAGATATGCAGGTGGTGTGATTAAATCACATCATCATGATTCCATTGCTACTTCCACCATGATTGGTTTTAAGAGAACGGCTAGCAAGAGCATGTTACTTGGAAACTTTCTGAACAAACCGAAGCTAGTGTAACTCTGCTTAACCTGATTGTGAGCCTGTGATAAAAACTTGTGGCGCGAAATTACAGATTTTTTTTTGTTTTATTGTCTACGGAGTTTTATTTATTGTCTGCGTCTATTTGACGCTCAACTTTTGAGAGAGTGCAAAGCGGAAAAACCTTATTGCATACTAGAACCTATTCGTACATTGGTCACTGACTTATAAGGAACGAGATATTTTGCTGGTTACATTAAGGTGTAGAAATTTCGTTGTGGCCGAAAAAGTTCATATCCAGAATGAGAGCTGTTGCGACCTGTTCTACATTTATGAAATTGATAAAAACTTTGAAAGAACTCAGTTGGCTCTTTCGCCGTGGGGCGCGCAATAACAGCCTTTGTTTCACTTTTATTGCTCACGGACTTCATTCCTACTGTTTACGGATTTTCGGTCGGGAAAATCATCAGAGCAACCGGTTTTATTGCTATCGAGTACATTGCAAAGCAGATTCTAGGATACTTATCTTCCGGTGTACCTAGTACTTTTCGTATTAGCCGAACAAGTTCAGATCCAGAAAGACCGGTTTAATTTCAAAGTCTAACTAGGTAGCCTGTTGAGGCACATTCGAGACGAGAAAACACTAACCCTTAGTAAAGGCGTAGAAATAATGCGGAAGGCATTATGGAGGTGCTTTCCAAGAGGAGAGTTGACGAATTGAAGAAGTTTCCTGAGAATTAATGAGATGACTACCAAACAAAAGAGGCTTTTGATTGTTAAAGAAATTCTTCTTGTTATCACATTAGAATATGTATAGAGAATAGTTTGGAGAATATGCATACTGATGTTAGGTTGTAAAGGGTCAAATATGTCTTTTTTGTGTAGCTCTAAATTTAGTGGGCATAGGAAAATCGCAACTTTGCTCCGTCACGAATGAGAGGTTCTTTGCTCTAACAAAATCCCAAATGGTTGCGTCCACAGTTCTATTTCAGGCGTATTTGAAGACAGCTTTGGGATGGGTGAGCTTCTACGCAAACCTCAGTCAGTGTATATGTTTTATGCTACCTTTCAAAGATGATATGAAAATCAAATGGTTTCGGGAGCATGCTTCTCCTTTGAGGACAAAACAACGCTCTCACCTTACGACGAGAAGCGATTTTTGTTGGGAGAGTTTGGAATCGATACACGCACTTATGGACATTACTTGAATGCATTAGAATGATAGAAACTCAACTCGTGATAGACTTTGCTTTTAACTACATTTGATGACATCAAACTACATTTGATGGTTTTCTCGTCTGAGGCATGGCCGACATCCACACGTGTTTTAACTGGCTCCTACTCTACCTGCAGCTTATTGCTCTGTTTGAAGATGCTGGCTCCCCTAGGTATCGTTTAAAAATCTGTGCTCGACCTGGAGCATGCTTTGATACCTTTCGGGGCTGCACGAAAGAGGATGGATTAGATTACGAAGGATTATGCTGGTTCTACTCTCGAGATCGAGGAGGACGGCGCCATATTGGTTTCGGTGCTGGGAGAGCGTTTTGTATCTCTCACGAAACAAAACCGAACTCATCGCTGTTCCTGTCACTCATACTGCTAAGTGGAGATGTTTGTCCAAATCCTGGCCCTCATAATACCCTGGATCTGTGTGGGATTTGTACGAAGTCTGTGAAAAGCAACCAACGTGGAATCTGCTGCGACCTGTGCAATATTTGGTTCCATGTAAGACGACAATGTGTAAACATGCGGCTTGAAAGCTACAGATCTCATGCTGATAATCCTGATTTACAGTGGATATGCAATATTTGTTTGGAGCTACCAACGAACGAGAGCGATGCAAATATTTCTGTTGACGACTCCAACCCAAACATGAATCGTTCAACCGACGAATTCACTGCCATAAATAATAATCTTTACGAACAACCAGGACTAAAATTCGGGCACATCAACGTCAACGGGCTGAGGGGAAAATTATCAGAGATACATTTGTTATTGATTAAAACTAGCCTTGACATACTCGCTATAACGGAGACCAAGCTGGCAAATGACATCACTGACGAGGAAATTAGTATCGAGGGATATTTCACTATTCGCAACGATCGCGATAGGAATGGCGGCGGCGTGCTATTGTACTATAAGGACTCCCTAGCGGCATACGAGGAGCATAAGATACAAGTCCCAAACACTATCGAAGGTGTTTGGATAAATGTTCAATGCCAATCCCAAACATGGCTATTTGCGTGTGTGTACAGACCGCCAACCGATCTTTCCTTCTATGACACATTTAATACTATGCTTGAGAAGATCTGGTCTACACGAAAAAATATTGTAATTTTGGGCGACCTAAACTCTGACTTGTCCCCTCAAAGGTATGAAGATGCGGAATCTCATCTTGGTAGACGTCTCCTGCGCATATTAAGATCATATGGAATGAAATGTGTCATAAAAGAACCGACCAGAATTTCTGATGTAGCACAAACATTGATCGATCTGATAATTGTTAGCCACGCAGAGAAAATCACTATGGCTGGTGTGTCTCACTTGGGAATATCTGATCACAGCTTTGTGTATGCAAATCTGCGAATGAGAAAGGAAAAGAGTCCCCTGATGATTAAAATCATAAATAATTACAGATCTTTCAACCAGCAGAAATTTAGAAACGACATCGAAAGCGCCCCTTGGAGTGTATGCGAGATCTTTGACGATATTGATGATCAGGTCTGGGCATGGCAACATCTTTATCAGCGAATAGTATCTGACCATATCCCTACCAGGCAAGTGAAGATGAGGAAAAATAAACTCCCATGGATAACCAACGAAATAAGGAAAGAACAAAACAAGCGCTATCGTCTCCTCAAGCTCTACAAGGCTAATAAAGACACGCATACTTGGTCCCTATACAAAGCCACTCGAAATCGCGTCAAGAGACAAATACGTGACGCGGAAATCACTTATTGGAGAGAGCAGTTTGCAAAAGCTGAGAACAGCAAAAATTTTTGGCAAGTTGTTAGTAAGGCTCAAGGTAAAAGTGCGAGGAAGCCAATACCTCCTGTGCAAGATAGAGACGGTACCATTCTGACAAACGACTCCGACAAGGCTGAGGAAATGAATAATTACTTTGCGAATATTGGAATAAAGCTTGCTGAAAAATTCCATCACGACTCTGGTTCCTCGATTAACCAACTTACAGCAACTATTAACCCTGTGCCACATGTCCTTGATCAAGTGTCCTTTTCCGAAGAACAAATAAAGCTGAAGTTAACTCACATCAAGCAAAAAACAGGTGGTCCCGACAAAATAATGTCCCGTGATATGGCCGAGGCAGCTGAGTCACTATTTGAAGGCCTTTTTAGTATCTTCAAAAATAGTATACAACGTGGCATTTTCCCCAGTAATTGGAAGATTGGAGAGGTAATCCCAGTATTTAAGAAGGGGACCAAATCAGACTGCGCCAATTACCGACCACTGACTATGCTTAATTTAAATAGCAAAATATTGGAGAGCATTGTTTGTGATTCCTTAGATTATCACCTTGTAACAAACGAACTTATACACTCAAATCAGTGGGGTTTCAAGAAAGGTGTCTCCACCGAATCACTACTCTTGTAAGACTGGCTTCGTA